GCATAGGAAAAGCTTGGCATTCATTGTCGATTAAGAAAGCTTTTGTTTTACAGTGACCGTACAAAACAAAGAATTCATGCGGTGGCTATCCGATCAGAAATTTGACTTAGCTTTCTCGCACATGTACCACACTTGTCCCATTGGACTCATTCATGCAGCTAAGATACCCACCTGGATATGGTTGAACAGGTAAGCCGTATCTTCAGATTTCACCCTATCACAAACTGTAAAAGGGATATCCTGCAATGCTCATCAACGTTGTCTTCACTATTTTCTAAATATTCTTTTGTAAAACATGCAGTTGCTTTAAGAAGACAATAGACTGTAAAGCCCGAAACAATGCCAACTGCAGTATTCAATAAGCAGCTGATAGGGATAAATAAGAAATGCAGTACATTTTTCTGAGCTATATGGCAAAGAAGGCATAGACTAGTACTTAGAAGTAGCAAAATTTTTTTAGGGCAACACTACCGCTCCGCTATGATTTTTAAAATTTTAATTCATGAATTATCGTTAGCTCAAATGATCTTGAGGAAATTAAAGGACACAGAATAGTTAGAATTGTCTATGTAAAATTCGCACATCTTCAATTTGAATGTTGAAATAATTTCCATAAATCTTACTGGCAAGTCCGTTGAATCCCTAACAGTATGGGCTTGGTCTCCCAGTCTAACTACGAAAATTTGTGCTATATATAAGCAATAAAACTAGTGGACCTTCTAGTTGCGCCATACAGTGCCAAGCTGAGGCAGCAGTTCATATATTCTACACAATGGCTAGCATAGTAAGAAGGATCTAAGGACTATATATACAGTAATAGATAGCGGAAGGGAAAAGCAGCGTATAAAGTTTGATTGCCCTCAGTTGCAAACGCTTAGAATCTCAGTTTTGTCATAATGCGAGATGATCTAGAAGAAACCTGATTTAAGAGCATGCACTAGAGACCTAATTAGTTCTAAACTTCTGGCGTAAAAATGCGTGCGCTAGCGCCGACGGTTCCAATCGACACAGGCATCCGACAAGGGGGAAGGGGAGGGGGGGATAGGGGAAGCGTTGGAAAGAGGAAATGGGAGAGAGGAAAATCTGTCCTAATCCTTTAATCCTCGCTGGAGATTATATAGACTCTTGCGAGTACCTCAGGCAAAAGAAGTTATATCATCCAAATATTTAGAATGTTGGAAAAGCATCTCTTATAGAAGATTTTTCCAAGTGTAAAACGTTCAAATTTGACCACAGTTATTTTTTAAATCTACAAAAGCGAGAACTTACAACTAATTTCTGATCACCATTATTTCGTGGAAGTCACCTGCTTTACTTCTAACATAATTTATTCATATTTCAGTGGCCAGCTCATGGATAACGTAGCTCACCTTATTGGAGTGCCCACTCTCCCTAGTTACGTACCGCGTAAGTAACTTCTTATATTTCATAACTCAAATTCTATTAAAATGGGGGAGTATTCCGTTCTTCTTGTTTTTCAAGTCCATTCGTTAACAAAATCCTTTAGCATTAATGATGGACAGCGGTGATGAAATGGATTTTATACGTAGGACAAAAAGCTTCATTGGTCATACGCTTTTGAACTTACTGTGGCCCTGGTGAGGATTTGAACTCTTTTTATTTTTATAGCAATTAGAACTCGGTCAAATAATTATGCTAATTTTAAGGATGGTGCCAAATAAGGAAACACAGATTTTCAGAGAGCACTGGGACTCGAATTTCCCAGATATAATGGATCTTGCAAAGAATTGTCCTTTAGTAAGTTCATTCGTTTACAATGTGCTCCATCACAATTTAGCAAGTAAATGTAGTTTTTACATCTTTATTTATTTATTCAATGCACTATGTATGATCCACATGAAGTCATAGAACCAAAAAAAATTGAAAACAAGAAGTAAAAACCTTCCAGCTACTGGCAAAAATACAGGGTAACCAAATAGAACGATAAAAAGGCAAGCAAATTCACTTTTGACGTGTACATCCTGTCGTACTAGATGTATTGGAGTAAAAAGTGTTAATCATTTATCCGGAAAAGATAATTATTACTATTTTCAATATCAAATTCGAAACTTCCATACTAAAGCTACGTTTTTTAGATTTATGCGTTGTGTGTATGTAGCGTAACCTATGTTAAATAAAGAAATCTCTGAGATATGAGAAAGCATTGAATCCACAAAAACTGCATTATTTCATATTCACATAGCAGCAGAGTTAAGTCATTTTAAATCTCATATTCAGGTTATGGTAAACTCAAATGAGCTATACGAACTCCCGCGACCAACTCTTGCGAAAGTCGTAAACATTGGAGGAGTGGGCGTGGAATTTAAAGATGCGAAACCTTTGCAGGGAGTACGTGAGACAAATAATTGTGAATAGTAGCCACAGGTTTGCATTACCAAATATATAAGCAAACAGTCATTTTTTTCAGGAATTCAAGAAGATCGCTGAAAGCGGAAAAGGAATGATAGTCATGTCGTTTGGATCAGTTGCCCATGCAGAGCTTATGCCAGAACATTGGAAAACCGCACTATTGAATGCTTTTGCTGAATTCCCCGATTACGAATTCGTGGTTAAATACGCCCATGATGATTTGAAAGGTGATTTACTTCAATGCTATTTAGACATATATTTGAAACAACAATCAT